TATATATAAGTATAATACTGAATATATATATATATATATAGTGTGAATTTTCCTAGCTATTCGATTTCGAAAATATTTCAAATATAACACATCAACGATATTATATTATTTCTTTTTAAAAATAAGATGAAAATAATTATTTAAATAATATATCTGTAAGTAATAAAGTCGACGTCATAGCACACAATAAAGATAAGCTTGCTATCGAATATCTACTATATCTAGTTTATTTACTAGATTTTTTACTAAATAGATTTCTACTCTATTTACTGGATTTTACTAGATACTTTACTACTACGTATAATCGATCTCAACACCGTTGCGAAAGCTAGGATCTTGACTTTAGTGTGAGAGCAGTCAAAGTAAGCTTGTGGAGAGAGAATACATTAGTTGAAGAAACTTTGATCTTGCCTCAATATTACGTATGTACATATGTAGTCAATTTCTACGGGTACCCTGATCTTTCAACTATATTATATTTCGATTACTAATATAACAAAAGAAAAATAATGAAAGAATAAAATAGAATAAGAAAAGATCTAATTGTTTGATTAAAATGATTTCTTCTTCGTTGGCAATAATATTATACAAGAACAAAATGTTGAAACCTATAAAAAAAAAAAGAAGAAGAAAGAAATGGTACATACCATATATGTGTAAGATAGAAAAAGAGAGAAAGAAAATTATAGCAGATGTACTATAGAAGGGTTTGTGCTTAGGAAAGAGAACTCCGTCCATTCGTGGTGTCTCGACTTCGATTCTCGTCGAGCAGAGCGTGAAGCGCGATAACCCGAGTCCGTGTAAAGTAAAAGAAGAAGATAGTTGAAGCAGAAAGAGAGAGAGAGAGAGAGAGAGAGAAGGATGAGGAGAATGGACGGAAGAAGGAGAACGGAAAAAGAAAAGAGGAGAAGAAACAAAAAGAGGTGGGACGAGGAGGAGGAGGAGGAGGAGGAGGTTCGAAAGCGCGATTTAAAGCCGAGGACACGTGCGTGCGTTTATACGTACGAACGCGATGTCGTATTTTCTACGATCGACGTACGAACGCGCGCACACGTATGCACGCATAGAAGAAGACAGAAAGAAAGACAAAGAGAGAGAGAGAGAGAAAGAGAGAATGGGAGAGAAGGAAGAGGGGGAGAAAAATAGTCGTATACGCGCGTGACATTGTGTTTATACGTACAGGAGTGAGAGAAAGAGAGAGAGAGAGAGAGAGGGAGTAAAGGAAGGAAAGAAAAAAGGAAGGAAGGAGGTTAGATGGTAAATGGTGGGGGATGTGTTAAGAGTGGGGAGAAGAAAAACAAGGAAGAATCGAAAGGTGCAGCACTCGCAGGTGCCGCACCGTCAAATGCACGGTGACATCCCTTCCGTGCATCCTTCTTCTCTCTCTCTCTCTTTTTATTGTTTCCCTTTCTCTCTTTCCTCTTCTTCGTTATATTATCTTTTCATCGATTCCTATTAGACTGAAAATGAAAGATGTGTTTGTTTGTTTTTTTTTTTCTTTCTGAAACGATCTTTGTAGTCTTTCGTGAAAAAGAAAGGGAAAGAGAATAGACTGTCAGGTTTGATATTTTAAATCGAAAGAAAAGAAAAAAAATGAAGGAAGAAGGAGAGCGGACAAATGTTGCAAGGTACCAACGGCCATTAGGAGAAAGTTGCTTTCGCGTGGTTTTGCCAAAAAAAAAAAGGAAAATAAAAAAAAAAAGACAAACAATGATTAACTACGCAATATAGGACGTATCATTTTGAATATAGGATAGAAACGATACGTTAATTCTTACGTACTAACTTATTTAATTACTTATATACTTACTTAATTTACTTACTTACTTAGGAGCAAGCGAGCGAGAGAATATGGGAGACGAGCCAGATAGAAGACGGATTAAAAGAGGGAAAACAAAGAGTACGTGTTGTGTGTTGTGTATGTATATACATATGTATTTATATATGCGTATGTATACGTGTGAAGAAAAAAAGAGAGAGAAAGAAAGAAACGGACAGCAGACAGACAGATAGACAGACAGAGACGGACAGACAGATAGATAGATAGATAATGTAGATAAATAGGTAGATAGATAAAAAAGAAGGAAAGAGAGCATGGCGCGTCGTAAATGTTGCTTTGGGATATCTCCTACCTTCTTTTTCACCGAGATAATCTGGTCTTTAGTAGAGGCGTCATAGCTGAATTTTCGCTTATTTAGCAAAAACAAAAACTACGATGACAACGACGACATCAATCACTATGATGAAGACGACGATTATGATGATGACAAAGACGAAGACGAAGACGAAGACGAAGGACGAAGACGGAGACGACGACGATGACGACGACGACGACGACGACGACGACAACGACAATGATGATGATGATGACGACGAAGACGAGGACGACGGCGACAACGACGACGACGATGGTCGGCGATGGCCGAACAGCTCGTGCAGCTCAGCCACTGGTTACACTGAGGTCGCTCCATGTCTCTCACTCGACCGGAGGAGGCACGACCTCGCGTCTCCGACCCCGCCCATCGTCGTGAAATGGTGCGATAGAAGCAAAACAGACACGGTGACGATGACAATGACGATGACGATGATTACGACAATAACGGCGACGGTAACGACGACAAACGACGACAAACGACGGACAACGAGCGACGACGACGACGACGACGACGACGATGACAACGACGTCAACGACAGCGACGATTTGATAATGATAATATTTTATATACCGACCGAGAAACAAAAAGACTCTTAAAAGAAAGTTCCGATTTTAAAGTCACCCCCCTTCCGATCGTCCTTATGTCCGTCGTCGTCAACGAATCTCTTTCTCGTTTCAGTACTCTCGTTCCCCCCTCCTAACGTCCTCGACACGACCACCTTTTATCGGACATTCTCCTCCATTTTCCCTTCTCTCTTTTTCTCACTCGCTCTTTCTCTCTTTCTCTCTTTCTATCTATCTATCTATCTATCTATCTATCTTTCTCTCTCTTGTTTTCATCCTTTTTCCTATCTTTGTTTATACTTCGTTTCTCTCTCGCTTGTAACGTCACCTATCGTACGTAATTCGTGCCTTTAGATGGCGCCACTTGACGAATTAGCTACGAACTTTCTTATTGACCGAGTAAAAATCAATTAAATGTTCGTGGATAAGGTAGGGATTTTACGATTTTTCTAATGTTTTTTTAATATGTTTTTAATTAAATCGATAACAAATATGTGTATATTGTATTTATTTTATGTATACGTTTATTATATATATGTAATATCATATAAGAGTATAATTTTTCGTTATAATATAAGAGAACTATCTATTATTAAAAATGATTCTTTTGTATTGAACTTATTTTCAAAATATTTTATTTTTACAAAAAAAAATATCAAAAAATTGTTTAGAACATCGATGATCAATATTAAATATACGTGTTGGTATTTCTAAGCCTTTAGCAATATGATTAATAATACTTGGAGAGTGAATCCAAGTGAATCTCATTAAAATAAGGAGAACAAAGGAGTTTCAATCAAGCTTTACAAATGGTAGCGCCTCTTCGAGTCATTCAGCCAATCAACGCGATCAGACATTTGGATCGTTAGAATAACACAAAGGAAACAACGAATGATTGAACGATTATCGTTATAATATAAAACTTTTGATTAATGTTTCGAATAAAAAAAATAAGGACAAATGATATAGGGACGTTTTTTTAATAAAAAATCTTAACAATAAATACATTTCTACTTCGTTTAATAAATGCGCATGTTCAGGAAATGGATGACTTGATTTCGATTGGTCGAAACGAGACAAATAATGGGCTGTAGCTAGAAGCATTTCATTGGTCCGTGCTAAAGCTTGTGACCATGATTTGTCGATGAGTTCAGGAGTGGGGGTTTACGGAAAGGTTTCGAGGTAGGTATCTTTTGGTAACTCTAGCAGTAAACAGTGTGAGGACTTGGTGACTACTAGAAAAGTTTTAGCTTAAAGCTGAAGCATTATTCTGTGATCAAGATAGAAAAAGAAACGTAGGCAAGCAAGTTTTGTTTTTAATTTCTAAGAAGAAAGAAGATCAGTGTGAGATTTTAGTGTGGTGTTTTGTCATCGTAAAAAAAATAACCAAAAATATTTATATATATATATATATATATATTTATTTATGTATATATATATATATATAAATAACTAAAAAAAAATTAAAAAAAAAAAAAAATAATAAAAAAAAAATTTAAAAAAAAAAAAGAAGAATACTTGACATACTTTTTTTTCGGACGTATTTAAACCTTTGGGACGGACGCGTACCAGCGGACGATTACGAGAAACATCGTCTGTCATCGTCGTTGTTAACGTCGCTGTCTTCGTCATATAAAATCCCTTTAAAAGGTTAAAAAGGTGAAGAAAAGCGATCGACGTACGTGATTAACCGCTAGGCAACGATTTTGTCCCACATTTATATCTCATCGTGATATCTTTCGAGAGATACGCGAATAATTTTGTCGTTGAGGAGTAGAAGGAAAAAGTTGAAGTGGAAGTGGAAGTGGAAGTGGAGAAGAAGAAGAAGAAGAAGAAGAAGAAAAGGAGAAAAAAAACCTGTCAATTTTGACGAATAAAGTGCATTTGAGATAATAAAAAAAAAAGTAGTAACATTATCAACTAGGATTACTAAAATCTCGTTGTCGGTTTTGTTTGGAAGGTTTGCAGAATTGCTGGGACGTGTCTGTCTGTCTGTCTGTCTGTCTGTTTGTCTGTCTCTGCTATCTACCCACCTACGTGTGTGTGTGGTTGCGCGAAAACAAACAAGTCGCGTCGCCATCTTGCGCTTCTCCAGCTGCGATTCGTGGAAGTGGAAGTTAAGTGGGAGAGAAATATAGGCGGAGAGTGGAGAGAAAGAATCGGTGAAGAGAAAAGTTGTAGCAAGAGAGATAGAAGAAAGAAAATAAATAAATATTCGCTCGTGTGTTATTTTGTTTTGGTTGTTTCGTTGAGAGAAGAGGAGGAGGAGGTGGTAAAGGAGAGGAAGAAATCGAAAAGTTTTAGTGATTGAAAAGGTGACCGACGGTCACCGAATGTGGCCAAATTCACAAAGAACGCGAAAAGGGAGGACCGCAAAAGAACTCGAAACAACCAGGCCGAGGTAGCATCAAGTTAAAAGGAAACTTCCCAGGGTGCCCTACTACAAGCATCACCAACTACCGCACACTACTCTATTATTACTACTACTATTACTACTACTACTACTACTACTATAATAATAATAATATTAATAATAATAATAATAATAATACTGTACTACGCTAGTATATTAGACATCTCTACTATACGTACTAGTTCTCCACCACACATCGTCACGTTTGTTACGCCGCGCGTTTCCCCCAACCGATACTCCTTACTTCTCTTGCCCTGGATACAAAGTTATTGCGCAGTTAGAAAAATCACTCTGGACACAGACACACACGTTATAGAAGAAGAGGAAGAGAGAAGAAATACGCCTAGATAGTTCGACTGTCGCCTGCCTGCCTGTTTGCCTGCCTGCTTGCTTGTTTGCCTGCTTGCTTTCACCACAGGAAGAGAAGCGACCCGCGATAAACTACAAACGGTAAGTTATAATATATGTTATTTTATTATCATAAGCCCCTTTTTTTTTTCTCTTTTCATTTTTTTTTTATTATTTGATTTACTTTCTATGAAAGAAATAATAAGTCACGTTTTCTTCTTTCTTTTTCTTTTTTTTCTAGTTCCTTTTAAAGTCTTTTTCTTAGCGTGATTTCATTGTCATATCTTTTGTTTCTTTGAAGTTATATTTTATATGAGTGATGCACAATCTATTCGGCCTTGTGTATTGCATGCATTAATGACTTTATAGTATCAATGAACTCGGAAAAATGTTATCGCTATGTTTTGATTTTAATTTGTTTGTTTATTTTTCTTGTTCCATTTAAAAGATTCGCGGAATCATTTTTCAAGTAAATTGATTTTAAATAGAACTTGAAATATCTGCGTTGTCAACTAGATTGAAAAAAAGTCATTTCAAGAAAAAAAAAGAAAAAAAGAAAAAAAAAACGTGTTTAAAGTTTTGAAACAACTTTGGATTTGCATAATTTTTTCCGTTCATTTTTCTCAATGTGCTTCGGGCACATTATACAAGTTGTGCTGTAACTCTTAAAATAATTCGAATTTTGAAAAATCCGATTAAGGGCATATTTTTGAAGATGTAAACTTTGAAAATATGCTTTTAAAAAAAATTGATTTTTTTTTTAAATTTCAATATCAGAATATGTCCTTAAATTTAGATTTGATCTTTTAAAATTAAAAGGTTGTGTGCATCATTGCTTTATATAATTATATATAATATATAATATTATATATATTTATATAATAATATATAATTTCTTTATAAACAAACTACCCCTTTTTTTTTATTCCGTTAAAATTTTAATAGAATTTAACACTATTTCTATCAAGCGATGTCCCCCCCCCTCCAACATTTCAAATTATTTTCTAAATTTAATTATTTATTTATAATTAAATATTTTCATTTTTTTATACAATAATTGTTGAATTAATTAAGTGATATAATTTAGATAAAAAGACACATTATTGGTTGAAATACCAAAGTTGTATACAAAATCGCTATAAAGAAATAGTGTTAATTCAAACGCGTTAAATATTGGGTTGGCAACAAAGTAATTTCGTTAGTAAGTAAATATATATTACATATATATATAATATATTATATTATAAAATAATATAAGTATTTAAATATATATATATATATTATTATATTATATTATAAAATAATATAAGTATTTAAATATATATATATATTATTATATTATATTATAAAATAATCTAATTATTTAAATATATATATATATATATATTTTATAATTATTTATTTATACATTATTATATATAATATTATTGGATTGGCAAGAAAGTAATATTTCACACTAAAAAACCGAAATTACTTTCTTGCCAACCCAATAAAAAAGAAAAAAAAAATTTATGTATATTTCTATAAAATTATTTGCAAACAAATATTTTAGAACTTTAATAATTCGTTTCTTAGACGGGTCGAGAGAGAAATAGTAAAGAAAGAAAGAGAGAGTGTTAGAGGTAGAAGAAGAAGAAGAAGAAGAAGAAGAAGAAGAAGAAGAAATAGGAATAGAATTTACATCATCTTGTCTGGTCACAACGTGTATTATCCAAAACCATGACGAATTCAGGAGTAAAATTGAACAACAAATTCGAACGTCAGGGTTCCCCTAACTCGGGTGGAAAGAAGTATCATCGTTCAAATTCAATGAAATCACCGCCGTTCAATCATAACACTACTGGTGGTCGTTCTGGTAATAAAAATGGTACGAACAACAATAGCACTGGTAGACTTAGTTGCAGTCCAACATGTACTGGAAAAAGTTCAAGAAATTCTCCGTCAAAAAGTGATAGTAGTGGCAGTCAAAGGGGTAGCCCTACCAACAGCTTTTACGCTGGTGCCAAGTTTTCGGAAACCCCATCACCGACCAGTCTTCCTAAACCACCCGATCGTTGGACCATTGGACCATCAAATAACACTCTTATGAGTAGTTGTCAGGAATCCGAAAGGCGACTTCAATCAGAATCGTCAAATCATCTAAAGATGATACTAAACGTCAAAGCCTGATATCCAAAGATCCACGGACCGCCGGAAACGGTCGTCGGTTGTCGCGGCTCCCAAAGGGAGAGGCAGCTACGATATCATCATCATCATCATCATCATCATCATCATCATCATGATCATCAGAATCATCCACATCGTCGTCATCATCATTATCATCATCATCATTATTATTATCATCAGCATCATCACCATCATTGTCATCGACGCCATTACTATAATCATCGTTATCATCGTTATCATCATCTTCATCATCATCATCGTCCTTCCTCATCATCGGGCTATGGACAATACGTTCGTGCGTACGGCCTCGAGCTGGTCGTTTAAAGAAACCGTGAGTAAGAAATAATAGACGAGACGATTTATTATTATTAACAATTCTAAGCATCCCGGTGTATGTATATGTGTAATATGTATATTATCACGAATCGTAAAGATACATATATATATATATATATACCAATCAGATATATATATATATAAATATGTATATGAATATCTCTATATGATGTACTAATAGTACACGTGCACGCGAACGATTATTCGCTAATTTTCATCTATAAGATGAGATTATAAAAAAGGTTTCAATGAAAATGCTGAAAAGTATTGAGAAAGGAAAGAAGAAAGAAAGAGCATTTATCAAGAGAAAGGGAGAAACGGACAAATTTTAAGCATAATATAAAATATATATATATATGTATAAATAGGTATATATATATATATATAAAACTCTTTCTTTCTTACTTTCTTTCTCTTTTTAAGACGAGAAAAGAGAAAATTTATCTCTCGTTGATGGGTAATATGTGTGTGCGGGCCATTCGTTTGTTCTCTCCTCTCTTTACTTATGAGGGTGATTAGATTTTACATATATACATATATATATATATATATATAGATACACACACTGACATTCACACTCACACATTTCTCTACATAAAAATACGCATGCATGAATACGTGTATGTGTATGTGTATATATATGTATATGTATAAATAATATACGGACTAATTAGAAATATATTTCTTCTAACGATAAATTGATGAAGTAAACATTCAGATGAATTTAATGTTTTCCTCAACGCGATGAAAAAATATTAACGAAATTTCATTTTTTTTCTTTTTTTTGGGTTCTCTTTTTGTCGCGAAACAAAAGAGGGATGATGATGATTTATTAGCAACGTTTAACGATGCTAATTATTATTATTATTATTGTTATTATTATATTATTATTATTATTATTAAAATACGCCGTCTGTGTTAAGATATAGACTTATTATTGTATTTTAGATTAAACTTCGCGTATATATATGATTAACTCGATGATAACGAGATTATAAAAAAAAAAACTCGTACCTAAAGGACATACGTATTATATATACAAAGAAAGATACACTACACTACACACACACACACACACACACATACGTTCTATATAATAATTATAATTATTAACATTTATGCATAATGAACGTTCAATGATTTTTCTTCGTGCATACCGATCAATGGACGGTTGTAATGATTAAAATTTTGAAGAAGGGAAGTAGAAAAAAAGGAAAAATTGTGGACAGAGGATGATATATGGATACTACTACTATTTTAAAACTTTTATGTATATATATATATATATATATATATATATATATAAACGAGAAACAAGTACGAGTTTAAAAACGGGTTAAACTGCACTCTTTGCTTTTCTGTATTCTATAAATATATATATATATATATATATTTTTTGGTTTTGTTTTAATCATAGTTTTCGAATTTCTAATTATCCAAAAGATCGAAATTTTTACGGTTATTATTTATTTTTGTTCGTTTTTTTTNAATTGTGGACAGAGGATGATATATGGATACTACTACTATTTTAAAACTTTTATGTATATATATATATATATATATATATATATATATAAACGAGACTTAAGTACGAATTTAAAAACGGGTTAAACTGCACTCTTTGCTTTATTGTATAATATAAATATATATATATATATATATACATATACGTTTATATATATATATATATTTTTTTTTTGGTTTTGTTTTAATCATAGTTTTCGAATTTCTAATTATCCAAAAGATCGAAATTTTTACGGTTATTATTTATTTTTGTTCGTTTTTTTTTTCAAAAATTAATACCTATAAAAATAATTGCAAATTTTGGTCGTTCATTTTCTTTTTTTTTTCTTTCTATCGTTCGCAATTATTACACACAATATACACATACGCGCGTGTACATACATATATACACAACGGTTTCAAAAATTTTCGAATCAAAGAATAATGGGACAGACAAAATTGTTTCTAATTCCTTTTTTTCTTTTTTTTTTTCTTTTTTCTTTTTTCTTTTTTCTTTTAATTGTCTCACATATAATTAATTTTATTTCTAGGAGAAAGTTATATCCACGAAAGTGTGTTTACGATTCCATTTAAACAATCTAATCTTTTGAAGTTTTTTTTTTTTTTTATTTTTTTATTTTTTTTTTTTATTTATTGCGATAACTAATCGCTTTATGTCGTCAAAAACAAATACATATATATGATGATTGGTTTAAAACAAATAATTTATACTATATTCGTGGATGATGTTTCTTCTCTTTGTTTATTATTATTTGTCTAACTGATACACGTATACGTAAGAATATATATATATATTTAACGTATATGTTTGTCCATTGTTTTAATCAAAGATAAAAGATAATAATTATGTTTTTTTTCCTTTTTTTTCTGTCTATTTTCTTTTTTCTTTTTTTTTTCATTTACGTTTTTCACAAAGAGATACATAGAATTTTTATTTTATTTTTGAACTTTGATAGGTCAAATTATATCGCGACAAAAATAACGCGAATAAGGATTTCATCATTAAGTTTTCTAAAATTATAACGGAGGTGTGGGGGGGGGGTGACGGGTTTAGTGAGATTAGGATTAGAAATGTGTCAAGATATTATGAATTTTTAATGTGGGATTTGGATAATATTGAAAACAAAATAAATTAAAGAAAATACGTCATTACGTTAAAAACGTTTGACATTGATTAGAAAGCTTTCAAATATTCAATCAATTTATGCATCTTTTTTTTCTTTTTTTTTTTTTTATTG